GCAGACCCCAGTCTCGCAGACTCTCCGTCATGGACCTCTGCAATACAGACGCCGACTCAGATCCCCATCGAGCCTTTTTATCCTCGGCCTCAGGATACCCGACAAGCTCAGCATCACGCCCGGGCACAGCAGCAGTCCTCATCCAGGGTACAACTCAGCTCGCACTCGGCGATCCTGGCTCATCACCAGCCTCCGCCGCCGCCTCATCACCATTCTTATTCTCAGGAGATCGCCCGCCAACAGCAGGCTCAACTTCGCCAGCTTCAGCAGGCCCAGCAGGCAGCTCACGCGCACGCCCAGGCCCAGGCCCATCACAGGGCTCAGCAGCAGGTCCACCGCCATCACTACGAGGACCCGGCGGCTTCGTATCCTTTGTACACGCACCACCCCCCTCCGCCGCCCCCGGGCCACCCGGCGTTTTACGGCCTCGAGCAGGCCATGTACGCCCAGGCGACGGACGATCAGAGGTCTCTCCTGTCCACTCCCCCCCTATGAGGGCCTAACCCTCGCTTTCCCTTTCCTCTGGTCTCTCGTTCGCGGTTGTACTACTTCTGTGTAGGGTCTCCGTCTCCCTGTTCTGTCCGCTCCGTCTGCTAGCATTACCTCCCTTTCGTATCACTCACCTCGCTACCCATACCATCTGCCTGTGCCATAATGTGCTCGCGCCCACTCTTTCGCGGACTCATCCTAGTGCGTACTGTACGACTGTCGACAATCAATACCATTACGCGCGGACCAATTGCTTGTCTTTTACTACCCCGTTTGATTTGAACGCAATCTTCGCGCCACATGTCGCGCTGAAAACGATCGTGTTTCGAGTGGGCGTCTGCTCACTTCTTTTTCTCAAACGGCGAAGGTTGTGCGATTCAACGTTCGCGGATATGAACTCCATCTGTAGCTCTCTGCTTGTCCTGCGCGAGCGGCACCGCGCCGCAACGAGCCGCACGTAGGACGTCAAACAGTACGCCGCTGTCCACATAGCGTGAGTGCTGTGTACGGTTTGGTGTGCTGTATATCAACCCGGCGTTTGATCGTTCCCGGCGTCTGGGTATCAGCGCTACAAGTCTACCTTGGCGCGGGTGATACAGATGATTGTGGTCCTCCGACTCGGGGAGAAGTATGGACAAGACCGCACGTTTGTGTCTGGATATACAACTGTATACGCGGGTCAGGCGGCGTACTTTTCGCGCTGTTACAGTAAGCTCATACAGCCGAAGGCCCGATGACCCCAGGTATAGAATCGTAAGAACTCTTGACCCCTGCCGACGGCATTCTGAATCGTACGTCCCTGCTCTCACGACGCATCCAAGTCTATAGCTAACATCGGAACGCCCAAAACAATGATCCTGTCATTTTGACCCTCATCGTCACCACTAACGGCTTCAGAGTGGGCCTGACTACCGCTCTCAGCCTTCTGCACTCACAAGACTCACAGGAGCGAGCAGACGGAGGCGCCGTGATCCGTCTGTGGTCGGGCGAATCTTCACTAACCTTCGCGTTTGCCGCTGGTTTCGACTTTGTGACTTTGGAGAAGGGGTGTGATTGGCTGGAGGGTAGGTTGCGCTGGGTGTTCGGGTGGTGAGGCTTGGGCATGTTCGCTTGGTCGCGAGAGAGATGAGGAGGACGGCGAGCCGATCGCCACAGGTGCCACATGTTACCCACGTCTTCCGGTCGGCACGTACTCCTATCATAGTACTCGGGGCGTCCAGGAACCTAGCATAGCCCGTCGGCGTGCCTGCGTTGTAAATCCCTGTGCCGCGTTCTCACTGAGAGCTTGGAAGAAGGGCACGGTTTGCCGTGGCGCGAGTACGATGTGTGAGTGAGAACCTGGTTCTACGAAGGGGTCCGAGGGTGATGAAGAGTTGATCCTGTTGCGACGTAACATCGTTGCTGACACGATGAATACACTCATTCAGCAGAAGGACGGGACACAAGCCAGCCGTCCTCCGACCGGTGGACATTTGGTCCGATTGAGAACTGAGTTGTATTATATCATTTCAGTCATCCATGGTCGTCAAAAAGGGCGTGTTTGGGTATATAAATAGTCAGAAGGATATGCGTAACACGTATACCCGCGGGCTGCTGCCGTGGTGGTCTTTAGCAAGAGCCCAAAGCGCTGTTGGACGCTCCGAGCGCGTTTCGGGAAGTCGGGCCGACGCGACAACTCCGTCACCGCGCGCCGTGCACAAGCCTTGCTCTCGACCACGACCTTCTCATATTGCATGTCTCCTACCGCTCAGTTCCCCGTGCATGGAAATGCAACACGGTGTCATACACAGACCACAACGACGCGCTTCTATCAACCAAGACAAGCTTGCCTCGTGTGCGCTCAACAGGATCATCGATCACCATAAGCGTATGCTCGCTCATGACGCCGAGTCACTCATCAATGGCCTGTACCCGATATTATTATTATCATCTCATGTCCGTTTACTTTCACTCGCGCCACCTCTCCCTGTTCCTCTGTGAGCTCGTCGGATGGCCTACCCTTATTTAAATAACCCACAAATTGCGTTTCGTGTGCTTACCCGGATCACTACGTAGACGTACGTGCCAGTGAGCGCCCGTTTACACAGCTTCTCCCGCGTTGTATGATGTGCAAGAACAAACACGGGAAGATATCACTCATCTATATCCATCTCTCTCGGAAGTTCCGCACCTCTTCCCCATATGTCGCCTGATCTCGCGGCCATCAAGATGGTAGGCCGTTGTTGTATAAGTCGCATCTCCTGCTGACTGACATATAGGTTGTTAAGTTGACTCTTTGGACATCGCGCACATGCTGGGGCCGATAAGATCCCGCGGCAGTGCTCGTCTATTGCGCCCCCTTCCCTGGAGCTGGGGTTGACAGCGAGGGGATCCTATAAATCTGCGGAGTGTGCTCATCATCCAAGCCCTCCAGCTGAAGGGACGCGAACTCTAGTCCCACTTCTCTGCCGATATGTCCTCCAATCCTGCCAATGCCACCCAAGTGGCTCAAATCTTCCAACAACTCCTGACGCTCAACGCTATATCCCAATCTGCTGCCTCCACTATGGCGCCTCTGCTACTCGTGGAAAGCCTCCTGTTGGGTAGTGATGCACACCTTCGGCGATAGCGCGAGATGTTAAAACGAGGGTTGGCAGGTGTCTTGTCTGCATGCGCCCCCATAGGGTCATACTTATTGTGGTGCGCAGTCCGGCAAGCAGTCGCAGGAGTACGAACTCACGAAGCGGAAACAGGTTCCAATCCCATCCTTTGCGCGCACCTTTCATCTCCGTGCTCTGGATCGTCACTGTAACTGTGGTTGTACATTGGGCGCTCTCCATACGACAACTAATGTTGACCATCAGGGGACGGTAAGCATACGCCCCTTCGAAGAAATACAGTGGCTTACGTTTGTGTTGCTCTTAGTACAGCGGGAATTGATCTATCTCTCTCTCTTTTAGATAGCGCTACGCGATTCATCAATCAGAACGAGCCCAACTCTTTAATGGCGCTACTCAAGCTCATCGACAGGTATCTCGGCTTCGGAAGCGTGTGGCGATTCTTCTTAGCTTTGATCACTGAATCCGTGCTTTTTGGTTAGATCAAGTTCCCGAGTCATTGTTGTAGCGCACGCTGAATTCTATAGGGTTCTCGTCATCTCTATTTGCGATCATGGTGTATACTGGCCTGAAGTACGCAGCGCTGTTGACTCTTCACTTTCACTGGACAGATAGTCTTACGCACCACTCGCAACCTGCAGGAAGTTTCAATCTCAACGACACGCTCTCAAACCTCGAATCATCATCATCCTGGCGTCCGTGACGTATATCCTTTCGCTCACACATTGGGCGACATCCTACAAGTGCTTCACCTTGCTAGCGAATGCCATTGCATTCTCTTCAGGCCAAAGTGTCACGAATACATCCAATGCAATCTATACCACCCTTCTGGCACTTTTCTCAACAAGTGTAAGCACTATTCCATCCAGGATGGTCGGAACAGCATTCAATCTCACATATTTAGGTCATCATGAGCGATGCCATTGTACTTTGGCGTATGTGCGTAGTATGGGATAAAGCAAGATTCGCCCGCGGGTTTGCTGTGATACTATTGATAACGACTCTCGCGCTCAACATTGGGAACATCGTAATCGTCCGCCGAGATACTCCTTTCGTTCTTGGAGGGGTGTATGAGAAGTCAGGATCCAGTGGGAACTCAGAGGTTGTTTTGACATACGGCGGGAACAATATCGGGCTCGCCGCCGCCTTCGTGTCCTTGGGGAGCAACTTGTGCGCTACTATTCTTGTGGCAGTGAAGGCGTGGTAAGTTGTACATCTTCTTATCTGCGTCTCCTCTAAGATGATCAGGTTACATAGGAGACTCTTTACCAAGCACCTCAAGGCCAGCGTGGGCCGCACATTCGTACAGCGGATTCTGGAGCTTCTCGTGGAGTCCGGAGCAGTGTATAGCGTTATATGGGTGACAACATCTCTGACACCGTGCTGTAAGTAGCTCTACTGAACTCGTTCTTCAGCTCCTCTACTGTGTCAGCATCATTCGACCAATATCGGCGCACAGGACGATCTTAAATCTGCTAAATAGCCCTGACATTGTTGACGGTTCTATTGTGACTGCCGCGGATTACCTTAATGCGGCCATGGCACAGATCATCGTACGTCCCTTTGAATGAACTATCACTCGAGCAATCTTTCCAATCGTCAATAGTCAATCTACCCGCTTGCAATCTTCATTCTCGTTTCGCTTGACAAGATACATCATTCGCGAGGACCACAGACCCTACGCGGGGTTGTTCTACCACAGATGCATGACCACGAAGTCAACGTGACATTCAATACCGATACCGAACGCGATGGACCACAACGTCTGGAACCCTCTCATCAGACGGCGGCCCTTCGATGTCTTGACGACGATGTACGTACGGTTGGCAAGTCGAAGGGTGACCCTGCTGTATAGACAGACTTCATGAGAGCTAACCTGCTGGATTCGAAAGCTGTGCATGGCGCGACCGAGGTCACGGTTACCGGCTGGGCCAAATATCTAGAAGCAAGCGGGGCGGGTCCGGGGGCGTCTTGAATGAGGCTCTTGCCACGGTCGCATGTCGGTAGACCGGTTATCTTACACGCAGTAGTCTACGCAGTCCCGTTAGAGACAAGTGATCTGAATGATTGATTTCTGAAGGCGACATATATATCGGGGGTTTCCTCGTCAGTAAGTCGGTCGTCGTCGTCTTCAGCAACAACTTGAACAAGCGCCAAAGCCGTCGCGCTCACGATCAATCGGCGGATGATCGGGCCGGAAAGGACGCGTCGCGCGCGCGCGTCGTGCTCGACGCGTCTTACTCTCAACCACAATCTCACGTCTGTATGCTACGTCTCGCTTCGTCTCGACGCTTTCTCAAATAGTCTTGCTCTATCTCTGTTGCTTTGTAGCTGCTACTCTTACTGTCTAGTTCTTTCCTACCATTCTCCTAGTCACACATCCATTCGGCTGACGTTCATATCGCTATCCTGTACCCATGGTATGCTCATTCACCCATATACTCTGTAATCAATCAAACCTCTCCTAGGCCGAACCCCCGCCCAAACGCGCACGCCTCATGCCTCCCGAAGGCTTCACGAAGACTAAGCCCAAGCAACCAGTAGCCCAGCCACCGGCTACGTTCCAATCGGATTTCGTTCAACCGGCGCCTATCTCTGCTAAGAATGCTCAATCTACGGTCATCAATACCACGGAACCGTACGGAAAACCGTACGGAAAGGATTGTCCTCCATTGAGACCGCCCAGCACGACGAAGACGAAGGACACGCCTATTCGAGCGCCACAACCTTTACGTGCGCCTGATTTCGGCCAGCGGCCAGCACCTCAAACGCCTCCTGCCGATTTGACCTCTCGTGCGCGTGCACTCAAACTCGCGGAAGCATCTGGATCTGGATCTTCATCCATCGTCAAGACCACATTCACGACAAAGCTCAACGTCCGCTCGCCGCTGGATCCTCCGCTACGGCGAGTTCCGAAAGTACAGACGCCACATCTCCATCTCGACTCACCGCTCACGCCTATCGGAGAAACTTCGCGTACTGCTTCACCGGCTGAACGCAGAGCGCTTGCGCCTCCCCCGCCACCGCGCCCATCTTCTCCCACGCCTCTGCAAGTGCCCGTGCCACCACGCCCTCCAGAAACACCCGCTCGAAAACCGATGTCGCATAAGACGACCTCCGCTGCGAAGCTTTTGGAGTCTATGCGGAAGAAGGTGACACCGACGCCTGCCGTCCCATTACCCGGACCGCCCACTCTTCCAGCGGCTATGCCTCCGCCACCGATGCAGCCGCTCAATACTATCCATCAACCTCGTCCGTCATCGCCGGAGAAGGAGATTGCGAAGAACGTCTCCATTACCTCTACACGTATCGCGCTCGCGACGGATCTCACTACGGCAGGAGGCTCGGCAGAGCTGTTCGGTGTGATGCTTGGAGCGTCGGGGAGGGAGCTGAGAAGTGCGGGAGAGAAAGAGCTCGCGAGAGGGTTGGAGATTACTCCGACGAAACCCAAGTCGCGGAGAGGTGGTGTTGGGAAGGGCGTTGAGCGAGAGAAGCTGGCAAATCGCGCACGGTCGATCTACGAGAGCAGGAGGCTGAAGAAGACGCTTGACCAGCATGCCAAGGTTGACGCATTGGGCCCACCGAAGTATATGTGGAGGGTTCTTGAAGTCGTCCACCCTTCATCGACTCGTTCAGGAGTTGACAAAGGATTCCCGTCAGGAGGGCGGGAGAATGAAGGCAATGCCATGCTCATTCGCTGCGTGAAGGACGATGCTCAGGCGGAAGAGATGGAGGAAACGATGGCGTTGCTATCAGCATGCGTGGCGCGGGTGATTGCCGGAAGTTCGGTGCGCGTATGGGCGCCTGTCGTTGTCGTTGAGAGCGAGAGGGAGAAGGTGTTGTTGTGTGCACGGTATACAGTTGATGAAGCCCCAGTGAAATGAATGGCTCTCGCGGAAGACCGATGTTGAACAACCATTTCCCTTCGATATCGTTGGCATGGTTACGCCTAAGACGTTGGAGGAACGAATCTGCGAGACTTCACTCGTTGGGGAGACGGCAGAGATGGTATGGATATCGTCAGGTAGTCTGGTGCCTACGGATGCTTCACGCCACTAAGAGCGATCATGCAGTTGGCATATATGAGTTTGCAGGACAAGTACTTGCCCCCGTCTACAGCAAGATCAATAGGGTTTGGAGACTGGCAATCTTGACGCCGTGGAGGCGGCAACGGATGATTGATTGACTGTTGAATCTCACTAAGCGCAGTATGGGACAGACCGACATTGCAGGATAGGTTGTGGTTGATCTGACTACATATAGATCCCCTGCGCGCGTTTGGCGGATGCCGCGGCCGATCCCAGCCAGACTGCGAACTGACTGCTTTCACTCATTCGCCCGACTGTCGACATCTTCCGCTAATCGCCATGTCACTTGCCAGGCTCAACGCATTTCAGCAGGCTGAGGTGCTTCAAGTCGTCTTCAAAACTACGGCGTCTTCCACGGCACCATTGCTGCTCCTGGAGAGCTTCGTAATAGGTGCGATATGCAGTTGCTCGGTAGAAAAGGCTGACAGGAATAAGCGGCGCGTAGGCGTCCTCTGCGCATGCATACCACTGGGGACGTACTTGCTTTGGTGTGCTGAGCTTAGTGATCCTGATGGCATGGAGCTTCTCTGATTGAAAGTCTACATCAGGGTCAGGCCGCATTCGTTTTCGTGCGCGCCTTTTATCTCGCTTCCCTGGATCGTTCTTGTCACATTGTTCTCTCATTGGATCGCTTCAATACGACAACTCGAAGGCATTCTCACTGGACAGTGCGTGCTCTGCTTGCTTCTTTTGTCATGGCTGCCACTGATCAGTATCTCTTGCTGCAGATCCTTGGGAATCTCACTGACGGTCGACGACGTATACCGTGTCGCTTCGGCCCACGCTGCGAGCTCTGGAGTTCATGATCTCGGGGACTCCTACCTATACTACGGTGAAGCATGGGAGTTCTTTCTCCCCCTCGTAACCGAGACTGTGCTCTTTGGTACGTACTAACGTTAACTCATCTTGCGCTGGCTGTTGAATCAAGGCTCGTCTTCCGTTCTAGGATTCTCCACGACTTTATTCGTAATCGCAGCCTACATAAGCTTTAAGTGCGTGATGTGAAGGTACAGAAGTCTGTAGACTGAGAGAACCGACAGAAACTATCGCTCATACCAATATTCACGCATGGCTTCAGCAGTACATGTCGCAATATTATTCATGTACATTCTGTCTCTAGTGCACTGGGTCGTTCTTCTTCGATACTTCAACCTAGCCGCCAACCATGCCGCCTCCGACGATCTATCTACATCATCATATCCGGCCCATACAGCGGCCGCCTTCAAAGTCACTCTTTTGACGCTACTCTCTTTCAACGTGAGTCTTTCCATGGATAGATGAGGAACCTGAGCACTGACGAAGTCTGCCTGCTCTAGACAGTCATGAGCGACTTCATTGTGCTGTGGCGCGTCTATGTTATATGGGATCGGGCTCGCTCTTGGCTCGCTCTTGGTGGTGTATGGCTCATCATATTGCTGGCGTTGAATGTTGCAAATATCGTCGGGATCGCCGCCATCCAGTTTGGACAGGGCACCTCTATGACAGAACTCAACACGCAGGATTCGGAGGTTCTCCCGACGTACGGGATGATCTACGTCGGCGTTGGTGCTGCTTTCATGTCGCTAGCAACCAACCTAAGCGCGACCCTGCTCGTTGGCTTGAAGGCCTGGTATGTCAATAGTAGCGTTCAATTATCGTATCGCGCGACCCAACTTCCTGCTCACGTTCGCAACATAGGCTCCTTAGATGGCGAATTTACAAGCATTTTCATTCGAGCAGTCGCCGCACCTTCACAGAAAGGGTCATGGAGCTTGTTGTAGATTCTGGCATCGCTTATGCAGCTATATGGGTAAGCAATCCTCATTTCCAGCTGTTTGAGGGGCCACGTCTCAAGTCACGTCTTAGCTCGTGTACTGCATCAGTCTTTACCGACCGATTACCAGGTTCGTTGTCCTGGGTCAAGACCCAACGGTGAACTTTCCCGTCGTAACGACCGCGAGCCACCTTGATGCTGCCATGGCGCAAATCACGGTACGTCTCTCTCCATTCAAATACAACGACCGTGCTGATCTATTCACATTTGCCGCGACAGTCCATCTACCCTCTGATCATCTTCATCCTCGTCGCTATCGACAAGATCCATTATCTCCGTGGACCGCAAGTTTTGCTCGATGACGAGTTGCCAGGAAACATGGATACCGCTGTGACGGTGACTGTTGACGTCGTCGCGGACCGCGATAGAATAATAAGAGAGGCCAAGGGTATGCCTTACTCTGAGAGTTCGATGCCGCGATAATACGAATGCAAGAAGAGCGCTGGCCGCAGCGCCAGCGCGGGTTCGGCGCTGGTAGTATTCGGTACACTGCGGACCGTGGCCTATGAGGCTCTCTTGTACATCACGTGTATCCATTGTATGTATTCAGTTCGCATAGTGCACGCGCGAGGCCAGCAGACAGTGCAAAGGCTCATATGTAGTGATGGAGGTGGTGGTCGAAAAGTTGAACGTTGCACGTGGCACGTCCAGAAGCGGCCCGGCTTCGGCAATTCGCGGGCGTAGCGTGGCGTCTTCGTATCCAATCGCCTACTCTCACCTTCTTTCTACCCGACTTTGCGAGCACTGCGCATGAATAAAAATGGGAATATGGGCCCTGTCTCTACCACTTCACTGAGAGTTTCTCCGTAGCGACAGTTTCCCTCGGCTTCCCTTGTCTGGCTTCACCTCGATCGTGGCCGCAGCAGATGCGCTCCCGGAAAGGTGGTCAACTTTTCGGATCCCTCCTTCGATGCGAGCACGAGCCTCAAGAGTTACAAAAGGGCACTGGCTGGACAAGAGGATGGTATTTGAAGCTTACTCTGCGTAAGGAGAGCACGGACGGGAGAGCGCGGGCGGAACGGACAAGAATCGGGAGTGCGCGCTCCTGTAACCCAAGATGATACCGATTTCTGGGCTTCTTATCAAGACCATCAAGATGGCGGAGCGTGGTTCTGTGCAAGAAGGTGTCAGGATGGAAAGTGCGGAGGAAGGGAAGGGACTGTCGGCTCGCACACAACGAGCTTCGCCAGGACCACGATTCAGTGACGGCCACCCGAGGGTACGGATGGGTTATTCGTCCGCTTGTGAGATACGGGTAGAACACGGGTCCATTCGATATGCGTTCTGTGTCAAGGATCACAGTAGACTTGCGTTTCGACGTGATGACCACACCTGTACCCGCTGATGAGATCAAGTTCGTGCGCTCCGTCATTGGGCAGTTTCCTTCAAGGCGCTTTTGCGGGTAGAGTCCATCATCTGCACCGCATCCTGTTGTCTGTGTTCTGCTGTCCCCATGGACCACATCCCTTCTTTCACTCTGAGTAGGATCCCACTCCTATCCATGCGCTTGTATCACTGTAGGTCGCATACTTAGCAACTGATTTAGGCTTAACTCCGCATTTATGCATTCAGTCAGCATCTCGGCGCCTCTGTTAATTATAGGTATGACATATCACTCGCTTGTCAAGCCTGTCTCCAGTACTGATCACTGTTACCCGATTCTAGTCAGTCATGGTCCCAGCTTCCTCGGATCCCCAACGTCGGATCCATCAAGAACTTGCGAGGGCAGGGTGCTTGCGGCTCATTGCCATTGTATTCTGGTTCCGCAACAGAACAGCTATCGTGCGTGCACGTTTCCGCAGCATCTTGTTCTGCTCAATATGGCGACCAAAGTGAATGCATGGAAGCATCGCCAGGCGCAATACACTGCCTTCACGAGAACGAACTGACCCGGAAGAAGCCGGTGTTCGTCTTAAATGAAGTCTTCGAGATGGGGTGCTCCGATGCGGGTCATTAGGCTATGTGTCCGAGCTTGTTCAAGCGACTTTGAGGCCAAGATGTCGACACGCCGCTCCAACAGTCAGATCCTCAGGTTACCCGGAAGTAATCAAAGCGTGCCCCACGGCGAAGGGTAGAAAGCCGCGCAGTCCCTATATGAAGTCTCTGTGTACGCCCGCGCATACCCGCCCGTTGTCGAACCGGTCTCGATCCTCGACTTGGTTTACGCTCCGCTACGATGTCGCCCCTCAGTCTTAACGCCACTCAAGAGGCTCAGGTACTGGAGCTTGTGTTCAGATCCGCGGCCTCGTCTACGATTCCAACCTTGCTCTTAGAAAGCTTCATGATGGGTACGTCTTATATTTTCACACGCCGAACACTGCTAGATTGACTTCTGTAGGCGTTCTTCTCGCTTTCATCCCCATTGGGTCGTACCTTCTCTAGTACGCCAAGACTGATAACATCCATACTGCTCTTCTCACAGACTCCCGCAGTGTCAAGTCCCGCTCGTACATGCCATTCGTCTCCATCCTTTGGATGGTCCTGGTCACCATGTTGACCCACTGGGCACTTTCACTTCGAGATCTCGAATCGACCCTCGCCGGGCGGTACGTGTATTCGTTAGACGTTTCAGAGACTCTCACAAACCTAACTTTCCCAGCTCTATGGGGTTCTCGACATCGCTCATAGATCTAGCCCACGCCGCCAACGCCTCCAAAGCCGCTGCTCATGGAGAACATCGCGCTCATCACGCACATCTGGGAGACGGGGCTGTCTTCGGTTCTGTATTCGTCTTCGGTCAAGCATGGCGACACTTACTTCCGCTCGTGACGGAGACTGTTCTCTTCGGTTCGTCTAATCAAAGAAGATCTATCCGAGCGTATGTTGCTAACAAGCTCCGCGATAGGATTCGCGTCATCGTTGTTTGCCATCGCGGCGTACATCGTTGTCCGGTACGTTGTCAAGTCAACCGTGGCGCGAGTTGTTGTCTCTGAAGCTCATCATCGCGGCTCTACAGGCGGTCCTGCTCGCATTGGAGATCGCGCTTCGACTTGATCATACCAGCCATGGTTTCGTTGATGTACACGTTATCTCTGATACACTGGGCTATTGCCCTCCGATGCTTCACTGTGCTTCCGAAGTATGCCATGTCCGGTGCTCCGCTGTCATTCCAGACACACATAAAGGGATTGGACATCTCTCTCCTGATAGTGTTCTCTCTCAATGTATGTTTTCTGTCGCATCCACATTGATCGGAATGCTGACCCTCAATGTCCTATAGGCGGTCATGAGTGACTCCATCGTACTCTGGCGCATGTGCGTCGTCTGGGAACGCACGAGCTCCGTTCGAATGATTGGCGCAGTATTGCTGATAGCCACTCTGGGACTGAACATCGCAAACATCGTTGTTCTTCACCGCATCATGGTCTACACCCGTTGGTTCCCAAGGAATAGCAGAGACTCCGAGATCATCACCACGTACGGCTTGACCCCTGTTGGCCTTGCCGCGGCCTTCCTATCGCTAGCGACCAACCTCTTTGCCACGGTGCTCGTGGGGACTAAAGCCTGGTACGTTGCATTGCATGTCAACTAGTCGTGTTGCACTCTTACTGAGAGCGTATCAGGATACACCGAAGACAAGTGTCTCACCAGTTTGGTCCCAAAACTCGTCGCACATTGGCAGGGCGCGTTATGGAGCTCCTCGTGGAATCGGGGGTGGTGTATACCGCCATATGGGTAGGATTCAGATCCAGAAGGTGTATTGGCCCTGACCATTTCACAGCTTTTGTACTGCATCAGCTTCTTCAGACAGATCACCACTCAAACCGTATTTGGACCAGATTCGAACGAATCATTGGTCACGGCCGTAGACCATCTTGACGGAGCGATGGCTCAGTTGACTGTGAGTCTTCTCAGTGCCCGTTCACTCACAGTCTACACCAAGTGCACTAACCTTACTCATGCAGTCCATCTACCCACTTGCTGTGTTCATCCTCATCGCGCTCGACAAGATCCATCATTCACGCGTGTCCCAACCTTCGCGCAGCGACGAGTGGCCACGAGGGAAGAACCGCGCTGTGAACGTCAGTCTCGAGATCGATGTGCAGATCGAACGCAGTACGTCGCTCAGCCCAAAATCTGCGATACGGATGGCGCCGCTCCAGTATACCGATCGCTCTCCATCCGTGTTGGACGATACAAAACCGTTAGATTCCGGGGTGGATGAAGCTTTAGAATGAGTGACCGCACACAAATGTATACTATAGGGTTGTACTTGGACGCTTTGTATTACCAGAGTTTGCTTATGATACATTCTGCGATGACGGACGAACGACCTCCAAAGCAACCTCCACATCCCCCACCACAGTATCGCTCAAATCCACGCCCCGCGTCGTCCACCCCAACACCTTCCGCCCGCGCTCGCCCCTTACACGCACATCGTGCGCCAGCACCCCTACACTCCTACCATATACACCCTCAGTCAGCTTGTGTGTCAACTTCGATGAAGGTATAGGACGCACGGGTCGAGCTTCTCAACGGCCACGCTCTCCGCCTCGCTCGACGAAAGTAGTCCGAGACGCGCGAGCTCGGCGCCGTAGATCTCTGTTACAGTCTTAGTGTCTATCTCGTGGTCGTCGGCGATGTAGAACCGCGTGTAAGGACTGGCGTCGGTTTGGGAGCCGGATGCGATGGCGTCTAGAACGCGCGCGTAGAGGTCGAGCAGGTCGTCTATGTGCACCTAGGATGAGAGTATGAGCTCGAGAGGAACTTGTCCTGGGTGTGACGGGGACATACGTAGTTGTACCGGCTGCTCCCCTCCCCGGGATACGTCGGCCGCTCGTACCGCAACAGAAACCCGACGAGCAGCTGTATGAACTGCGAGGGCCGCTTTAGCGGGCCGGTGCCAGGCCCGACGATGTTGACGGGGCAGATCGTGAAGTTCGTTACGTAGCCTTCTTCGCCTGCCTTCAGGATGCTGAAAACGTATTCTCGCAGTCAGTATGAACATTGACATCTAGATCCACAGGCGAACTCGGAACTGACGCGGTGTCCACGGGCCCGTGCATAGCACCGGGGCTGATATTCCTCATATCCGTCTCGTCGTTGTCCTGTGTTCGTATAGAGTCAGCGTCAACGCGCAGAGGAATATGTATACTGCGGCAGATCGCGCAACTCACGTTCCAGTACTTCCCGTCGACGCGCTTCCCGCCCGCGCTGACGTCATTAAACAGCATCGTCCCGCTCGTATGCAGCAACACCCCCTTCCCCTTCCCATCTTGCTTCCTCTTCCTCATAGCGCCCAGCATAGTCTGGCACAGCGTCTCGTCGTCGCAGTCGGCCGCGTTGATGGTGATGTCGGCGTTGTACGTCTCTTCGGCGATGACGGCCTGCTGGTCCTTGTCGGCGGTGGGTAGGACGACGGTGGCGCCAGTTGAGGCGATGGAGGGGGCGCATTGGGGGTTGCGCACGAGGGCGGTTATGGGCCAGGAGGGGTGGTGTTTTCTGATCTGGACGAGTAGAGAGCCTGCGTTGACGGGACGAAGGGACATGAGATGTGTGTTCATGCGGGGTGCGAGTGAAGCGCGACGTACCACCGAGGTAGCCTGTGGCACCGATCAAGAAGACAGAAGGCATGTTCGTGTTGAATACACAAGAGCAATCTAGACAGCAATCAATTTATGAGGCAAGGGAAGAAGAGACGATGACATACCTCAAGCGGCCTTATATGCCCACAGGTCTCAAAGCCCTATGACTTGATCGATACGCTTTCAGTGGGCCCCTGCGAAGATCAGGTCGTCATATATTGGCTCGCCACTGTGCTCGATAATCTGATTGGTCAAGGGGGAGTCCCGATCGGGACCGGCGAAGGACAGGAGACCGACGAAGAGCGGAGAAGGAAGTGCATGAGACCTGTTGTAAGCTTATGGTTGGTCGAATATATAACTTGAGATGAACTTCCTATCAGTGGGTCAGCGATACAATTAGAAGATGCGCGTGCGGTGGTAAGTACCTACCTCGATTATGCGTCTTGCAATGGCCGATCAAATTATGGCGTGAGCTGGGCTACTGCACACCTGGTTAGTCAGTCAGAAGAGTGATGATACTTCGCCTGATGCATGCATGTTCATAGCGCTTGCGGGTCTCGATCGGTGACGAAGCTTGAAGCTCAAGTTTGCTGGAGACTTCGTATGCGCCATCCGCCTGACTCTGCAGGTATACGAAGGCAATACGATACTCCAAGATTGCACCCAAGTTGTCATAGAAAGCTTCGTATAGTAGCAAAGCCCTAAGCTCAATACAACAGTACAATAAAACACGATAAGACAAGAAAAAATATTGCCAAGAAAAGATGTACGTCCCCAAACTACGAGAACGACGAAAAAATCACAGCCGCCCTCAACTCTACGGAGACAGACAGCGCGCGTGTCCCGTGCTCCGCACACCCCCAAGACGAGAGCGCACGGCGGTGCAGAGCGCGCCGGACGATTTTCCACGACCGTAACAGGCGGCCGAAGTGGGAGGACCCGAGATGGGACAACGGCTGCCTTGACATGGTACGTGGGTAGGTATAGAGTAGGTAGATCACACAGGAGAAGAAGTAGATGAATATGGCATTTTGGCAGTGGGAGTAGACGGAGGTGGTGGGCGGTGAGAGAGAAGAAGAAAAGCCGTGCCGCGCGCCGGAAAACCTAGGAACTGCGGCCCGGCAACTCGCGCTTGCGACATCATAACGCGGCGCGCGCCGCCCTGCTCGGTCCTCTCAACACCATCTCCCCAATCCTCGTTGATTTCTCATAATGTCGAACTGGGGCCAGGGACCAGGCGGATACCAGTACCCGCTCCAGACGGGCTTCCCACAGCAGAATCAGCCTCAGCAGCAGCAGTTCGGCCAGCCAGGCCCCGGCCTCGCACCGCAACCGACGGGCTTCCCCGGCCAGCGCCCGCCCTTCCAGCAGCCTCAGCAGACTGGCTTCCCCGGCGGCCCGCTACTGTCGCAGCCTACGGGATTTGCCGGCGCTGGAGGCTTCGCCCAGCGCCCGCCGCCGCCACCGGTCCCGCCCGTGCCCTCGCAGTTCTCCCAGTTCAACCAGCAGCAACCGCGTCTCGCGCCCCAGCCCACGGGGTTTCCCGGTCCTGGAGGTCTACAGCCTCAGCCAACTGGATTCCCAGGCGCTGGAGGACTCGTGCCGCAGGTGACGGGCTTCGTCGATCCACGGCTGCAGATGATGAGCGCGACGTTCCTCCCGGCTAACCAGTCCACGCCCTACACGCCCCAGGGCGCACCCCAGCTCTTACAGCCTCAGCAGCAGCTCGGCGGTCTGAGCCTGCAGCAGAGCTTCCAGCAGCATAATCAGGAGATCAAGGGCACCGCCGCGCCGCGCGTGCCCTGGGCGCTCTCCAAGGGCGAGAAGAAGTCTTACGACCAGATATTCCGCGCGTGGGATACGTCGGGCACTGGTTTCATCGACGGGCAGACGGCCATTCAGGTGTTCGGACAGAGCGGGCTTGACAAGGACAGCCTCGCGAAGATCTGGTACGTTTGGCATTTGGCGCGCCTTTGATGGGGATTTTTCTGATGTAGAGTCGTCATAGGGCGCTCGCGGATGCGGACAACCGCGGCAAGCTCAATATCGCAGAGTTTCACGTCGCGATGGGGTTGATCTATCGCAGTATGTATTACATTCATACATATCTGTACGACGAGCTGAATACTGATACATATTTGTGATTAATAGAGCTCAACGGCAACGAGATCCCCGACAAGCTCCCGGCCGAGCTCATCCCGCCCTCGCACCGCGACCTCGACGAAGCCGTCAACTTCGTCAAAACCCTGACAAAGAACGACCCCGTGCGGTCCTCCTCGCCCTCCCAGTCCAACTCGTACCTCAAAGTGCGCTCCTTCGGCGACCGCGAGGCGCCCGGCGCGGGCGGCCGCCAGGACGCGACGGTGTACAAGCACACCGACGCCCAGCCGTCCGGCGGATTTTATACGCCGCGGTCGAGGCATATCGACCGCAACGACGTGCGCGGGAATAATGATCGCGGTGGGTCGTCGGATATTTCGGATCTGAAGCGGCAGCTGGAGAAGAGCGCGAGCAGGCTGGACGCGGCGGCGGAGGAGAGCAGCCTGCGGACGCGCGAGGACGAGGAGCTCGATCGCGAGATGGACGACTTAAGGTACCGCGCGAAGCGGATCAGGGACGATTTGGAGTATCTGGAGCGCGCGCCGCGGACGCCGGATAATGATGATGAGCGGAGGAGGCTCGAGCGCAGTCTGCTGACGCTGCTGCATGAGCGGATTCCGGACGTCGAGCGGCGTGTTAAGGACCGCGAGGCGCGCAAGGAGCGCGAGAAGCGCGAGCGCGATCGGGCAAGGGACGATCGTAACCAGTCCTTTGGGCGGTACAATGACCGCGACCGCGACGACTACCGCTCCTACTCGCGCAACGAGGACAGGGACCGCTACGGTGGAGGATACGATCGTGACCGCGACCGGGATAGGGACGGCGGATACCGCTCGTACTCGCGCAATGAAGACCGCGACCGGTACGACGACCGTAACAGGGATCGGGACCGGTACGACGACAGAGACCGCGACCGCGACAGGCTCGATGACCGCGGCTACGACCGCCCACCTGCTCGTACGCCACCCCCAGCACCACCAGCC